TCTGAAGGACCAAAAAAAAAAGGAATACGAAAATATGAATAATGAAAGAGTCGGCAAAAAAGATACGAGCCTTTGAATGTCATTAGCTGCATCCATAGGCTCGTACTCACAAACCAACCTTATTTCATGTTTTCATTGAGTTCATTTATTATGTGCATTGCAAAGACGAAAATTGCAACAAGGTAAACGATAACTGCAAAATCGGTTCGCTAATACAGGCCTTTTTTGTTTGTGAGGCGTAAGATGCTAAACGGATACAGAAAACACGAGCAGAAGATGAGGTCTATTTGTCAATGCAGGCCCTAGACGTATGCAAGCGGCTACGTTTACATCATCTTCAACTGACTAAGCCCACTGCAGGACAAAAGCCTCTTTCATGATTGGTCAGTCAACTCGGCACTGTGCTTGCTGCTGTCCCTTTATACCTGCAAACTTCCTAATCTCATCTGTCCACCCAACTTTTTGTCACCCCTTCACCCGCTAGACTCCACACATATATACACTAACGGATCGGTTCAGCCGGACAGCTCTACAGGAGCAGTAGTGATACCAAGGTTGGCCACAACAATTAAATTCAAGACATCTCACGCAACAACATCAACGGTAGCAGAATTGGCAGCACTTTGTGCCGCGTTGCAATTTGTAGTTGATCAACCTGAACGCAAGTGGACTATTTTCTGCGACTCGAAGGCGGCACTGCAGTCTTTACTATCAGCCTTACGCCGTGGACCACACGAGCAGCTGGTACTAGAGATAGCAGAGGTTATACACCACCTGACTGAGAAAGGGCACCAAATTACATTTCAGTGGTTGCCCAGTCACTGCGGAATCATCGGCAATGAACGGGCCGATCAAGCTGCCCGTTCAGCCTACACAGATCATAAACTGCGACTACCACTTTCTAGGACAGATGCTGCACGAAAGCTCCGCAGGCTTTCTCGCCAGCAAACTACATCACAATGGAATCAGCCACACTTCAAGCATGCCCGACTGTACTCGCTTGACCCTACGCTAGGTCTTCAAGTCCCGTCGAGGCTTTGCCGAGCAGACCAGACCCTGTTATGTAGGCTGTAGTTGGGCGTTGCGTTTACCAACGCCTACGCTTTCCGCATTGGGATGGCCGACACCGCAGCCTGTGGCAAAGAGGAAACAATCAAACATATTATTTGTGACTGCCTAGCGTATAGTAAACAACGACTATGCCTTCGCAAGGAACTCAACAAATTAGATGATGAACCTCTGTCGGAGCAGGGAATTCTGCAGTATCGTCAGGATGCCACTTCACAGAAGAGGGCCCTGAAAGCGCTAGTGCACTTTTTGCGATCGACCAGCCTTACTGAACGATTGTAGCTAGGACGCCCTTCCTGTGTGTGTTTTCGTTTTTTTTTATGAGTGCGCGTGCGTTTTTTTTTTCTCTTTCTACCCCCTCTTTCTGGTTTGCACTATGCTATCCTAATGGTTTCTGGTTTGCACTATGCTATGCTAATGGTTTGCACTATGCTATCCTTAACCCCGGTTTGTTACCTGACCCATTCAGCTCTCTTCTTGTCGCTTAAGTTTACCCCTATCATTTTCTTTTCCGTCACTCGCTGCGTAAAGGAAGGTATGCTACAGCTGCATCTTGCCTGTACTTACTTACGGAGCTTGCTGGGGATGATTGATTGATTTGTGGGTTTTAACGTCCCAAAACCATCATATGATTATGAGAGACGCCGTAGTGGAGGGCTCCAGAAATTTCGACCACCTGGGGTTCTTTAACGTGCACCCAAATCTGAGTACACGGGCCTACAACATTTCCGCCTCCATCGGAAATGCAGCCGCCACAGCCGGGATTCAATCCCGCAACTTGCGGGTCAGCAGCCGAGTACCTTAGCCACTAGACCACCGTGGCGGGGCCTTTCTGGGGAGAAATAGAGACAACGATTTATGGGGCATAGCTGAGCAACTCATCCTTTGCGCACGACCGACTTCTCTTCAGCAAAAGCGTGAATAAACAGCAGCAAATGATTGGAGCAGTCGAGAGAGAAAGTGCGAAGGTAAATACGCAAAGAGATAAAGGTAATATTCAATAACCTGGCACGAGGTAACAATCAGGGAGCAGAAGTTTTTCGGGGTATACGAATTTACGTGAACTACCTACAGGACAGCTTACTCTCGCTAAAGGAATTCTGCGATAAAAAGGATGGACTGAAATTCGTAAGGCTGCCTTTTCCAAATAATGGAAGCCAATGTACATTGCCAATATTGCATGCTGCATCTTAAACGAATATTAGCACGGCGAAATGAGGGACGGGAAAGAAAAGACGAACTGTAGCGCTGACTCGCAACTGAAGTTTATTCCTAAATGAAGTGGAACACATGACATCTGAAAAAAGCAAAGCAAAGAAAAGAACCATCGCGCAAGCTTCAAGTGACAAGACTCCATAAATCGCTATGTGGCTAATGAAACGTGCAAGCTATCCTGTCAGATATGAAACTTCTGCACCTGATAGTGTTATGAAAGGCTGGTTGATGCAATTATCAACTTACAGTGACATATAAAGAGCTTCCATGATTTCTCGAGACCATTGGTCTCTGTGGTAACGGAAATTTCAGTGTTATCAAGTTAAGGCTTACACCTATTTATGTGACAATTGATGGCCAAATGAGAACATGTGCCATTTTTTACATTACGCGCATGCTCCTGAACTCATATTCACGCATCGAATAGTTTGCCCAATGTTAACATTGTTGTCAGAACAAGGTATCTTGTATACTGCATTGGTTCGACACTCAATGAATTTACTTTTATGTTTTATTGTGCATTTCTCCTCTTGTCGTCATTTTCTTCGTTTAATTTCTTTTGCACAGCTGGAAAATCTTGCCGGAATTTCCGGCCAACGCTGAAAACATTGAAAGATGAAACTGCCCACGTTTTTAGGCTCACGCGACAACTATGCACATAAGGAATCAAGGCTATATTATTTATAGTTCTGGAATGATTAACTTCTGTTTCCTTCTGCGCAACCTTTACTTTTTTGCCACTTTTTCGCAGGCCCTCATGATGATTCATTCAGGGTATTCTGCCTTCCTTAAGTCATCAAACCTGCTTTGCGAAGCTCTGTAGCATATTGTGGTGACAGGTTTTTAACAATGAAGACTGAATGCATGCAACACTTATGCCACTTTTCACAATTTTTGAGTTATCAGATGAAAAAGCAAGCAACGGCTTATCGGCCCCAGCACAATACTCCCTACAAAGGTGATCTCCCGGTGCAAAAAACAATCTTAAATCTAGCGATTTATAGAGTTTTGTCACTTTGAGCTTGCGCGATCATTCTTTTCTTGTCCTTGCTTTGATTTTTTCATATGTCATATATTCTGCTTCTTTTAGGAATAAACTTTAGTTGCGGGTCAGCGCTGTACTTTGTTTTTCTTTCCTGTTCATGTTTTAGTCGTGCAAATATTCGATTAAGATGGAAGTGCACCAACGTACCCAATTGTCCCTTCTGATGCAACACATCTGTTGCATGCTGGTTGAAAAGTTGAATAAGAAAAATGACCCAATTGAGGTCCTGGGAAACCAGAAAGTGGTCTACGAGAACAAAAAGAAGTTAGCAGCTACATCTCATGCGATGGATTCATTGATTTGTGTGGTTTAACGTCCCAAACCATCATATGATTATAAGAGACGCAGTAGTGAAGGACTCCGGAAATTCCGACCACCTGGGGTTCTTCAAAGTGCACCCAAATATGAGCAAACGGGCCTACAACATTTCCGCCTCCACCGGAAATGCAGCCGCCGCAGCCGTGATTCGATCCCGTGACCTGCGGGTCAGCAGCCGAGTACCTTAGCTTTTAGACCACCGCGGCGGGGCTCTCATGCGATGGAACGAAAAATGATAGGCAGCTCTGTGTTGCCATAGAGATAGAAAGTATAAGAGCAGATGTCATGATAATAAGAATAATGTTGGGGGTTTATTGTCCCAAAAGCGTCATATGTAGAGTGGATGAGCGGACAAAGAGTAGTGGTGGATGCTTTCGCTGACATTAAAAGGGTGTAACGTCAAAATGGATAGCAACGCACGGGAAACGCCCATGAGTGCGGAAAGGGAATTAGGGGGTGTGGCGGAATTCTGACATTTTCAGGCATGAAGTGAGATTAGCATGCGCAGAAGTGGGCGAATGGGAGATGAAGGAAGGTATTCCGTCTCGCAGCTAACATAAATCATCTTTGCTTCTGCTGGTGACAATGATAAAGACTTATTTGTGTTACACACTTCACCCAGAAGAAAATGGAATGCCACGTTAAAAACGCAGTGCTGATTCATCACTATCCCTAAAAGCAAGGGCTGGAAAATTAATTATTGCAAAACTACAAAAACAAATCGCTTCTCATACTAGCCCTCATTCAAGAACAAAATGACGTACACTGCCTACTGAACGCAGGAAGAAACAAAAATGTAAAGTTGCGTCAAACACACTGGCAAGTGGTGCCATGTCAGGTCGAAAAAAATTGCGCAGAAGAAAGTGCAAGTTTCACTACGCCAAGTTTAATAGAAAAGCCTCTTACGATGATTTATTATAGCGAAAAATTTTAATGTTAGGAAATGCATAGTATACTACGCATATTTTCGATGATTACTGTCAAGGTTCCTGGGCATGCGAAAGACGTTGCCAGGGCGTCAACGCCGAGCCATAAACACCATTTTTACAAAAATTGCGGTAGCGATCACGGAAAAATGGAATGCAAAACCAAATGGAATGTAAACCAAACGTGTAACAAACTTGAGGCCAAAGTTACTGACTTGTTCACATGGTACTTCGGAGCATATAAATCACGCGAGCGGGTAATGCTCAATTTGCTTCTTCCTGTACCTACAACCTCGACGAGATGTAAAGGCGACGTCAACGAAAGCTTGCCGACGTTTGAGTGGGGCCAATTATGTGCGGCGGAGTGCGATTGCGGCTCCCGCGCTGACCGGCTTCGAGGCGGAGGCGCGGCAGGTATCGGCACTCACCTTCGACAGCCGCATTTGGGTTGCGGAAGGAGTGGTCGGTGGTGGTGACCTCGTGAGCCGAGCACACGACGACACAAAACAACAGAAGCCCTGCGCGGGACATGGCCACGATGTTCGACTCGACTAGGCTGCGCCGCGTTTGAGATGACACGCGCGATGTCGGCTGCTGCTGCTTCGCGCACGCGGCTGGCGAGTGCCGAGAGGAGCGGCGTGCGTGCGCATGCTTGTAGGCGAGAAGGGTGTAACGGACAGAGGGCGCTGGCAGCGTCAGGAGCAGCGCCGCGACACGTGGAGCCAAGCGCGTCGGGCTTTCCGCAACATCGTCCGTGCTGCGGATGGTGAGCCGCAGGACGCCCCCGCTTTGCTCTCGCGTTGCTCTCTGCCCTTGACGCTGGAGTAACAGCAGAGAAACAATACACCACAGCTATGCTGGTCCAGAAATATGAGACCGGCACCGAACCGTTTACTGCGCAGAGCAGTACGCGCGCTAAGTACGTAAGAACAGGCGCCAAGTGAGCATAGACAGACAGACAGACAGACAGACAGACTGATGGACGGATGGATAGACGGATGGACGGATAGATAGATAAAATGGTCAAACTTTGGCATTTCGCTAAGAAATGCTTCGAAATAAATGATAGGTTGCGATAGTCACGCAGAAATCAAGCAGCCGGTCAAAGATTGTGAAGTTCAGTGCAGCTAATACGGTTTGTGTCCTTGAATTTATATAACTGCTTCAAGAATACCGCGAAGGAAGATAGGCTGGCGAACGTATTTACCTTGAGGTAGATTGTGCAGATTTTTGTTTTGGTTCGCTTTAATTTGCGATTAAGAACGAGTCCTCGTCCTCTAGTCGGTAAGTGCATGCTTCATAAACAAATTGACGTGATACACGAGACTGGTGGTAAAAGCATAAGCCAAATTGACGCTGGCTAACATTCCCATGGAGGCCCTTTTATATGGTCTGTTACAAGACCAGCCTTGCATATGAGCGAAGTGGACAGGTTTAAGAGCAGAGGTGCAGTCAATGCGCATAAACAATGGTAGCCTCGTTTCCGTACATATTGATGTCGATAGAATTCAGGAGCCTGATAAATACATTCACAGTATTGACGACAGAAATGATTAGGCAACTAGTGTCAGCCAGAGTTGCCTTTATTAGCTACATTGCGCCATAGTGTCGCCACTTCTGGCTAAAACATTTGAGATTAGCGCCACGGCTGCTTCTTGGCTACATTGAGATTTTTCTGTGCACTTAATTATGCACCAATCTATTTATTCTTTGAGGGTAAACTAACAGGACAGCTTAAATACCAGCCACTGCTCTTAAACATTTCTGCCAGCTGAACCAATGCGTCGGCATGTCCTGCCCTGTGCAGCAGTCTATAGTGCGCATCAAAGCACGCCCTCGCAACGCTCGCCCTGCAAAGACAGACTGGGATGCATGTCGAGAAACCCGTGGCTAGCGTGCTGCTTTCTCAGCTATCTGTTGTGGCACCATTCTTTGATGCTGATAGCAGAACACGTGATCGCGCAGGAATTCAACAGAAAAAAAGGAATATACACAAAAAGAATGAAGCTGGTCTTTTATTAGAGTAAATATGGAAATCGATTGTGGTGTACGGCTTCAAAGAAAATCTACTTCAACACTTGGTGTTAACACTGAATTGTTGACCGATGGACTTCAGAATTACCTGTAACTGGCACGAATTCTATCTTGCATAGCTGTTCACATGTGCACTGAAGTAGCAGCAACAAATACGCCATGGTTGCTTCACCTTGGTGCACATAATGGCTTCTAGGAACTAAATGTAAGAAAACACAAGGTTATTATTATACTGTGATGCTAACAGCCTGTCTATTTATCTCTTAAACAGTGTTGCCTTACTACACGTCACTTGTTAAAAATATTGGTATATTCATATATCGCGTATTATAAAAAGAAAAAATGCAATAATCTAACTATAATTGTATTGCTAACATTGTAGCCACGACGTCCAGCCTTTTTCCTCATCGTATATTAGCGCGTTAAACTAATTGCCCCTAGAGCTTATTTTTTGGCATATGAAAACAGCGGTCTTCACGACAACTTCATTATATCACAGCACCATATGTCCTACCATTTTTGTTGTCGCTATAGGTTAGGTGTTCTACTTTGCTAAGCTCGAAAACTACTAGTCTTTTGGAACTTTGTTCACTCCTTTTTTGCTTTCTGTGATGACCTGAATTTTCGTTTCCACTTTCTACACTACATACCTCTGTAACGCTTTCATTCAGTAAGTAGATAAATAGCAGTATTAAGAAATACTTGATTCGTCCGTCATAGGAATTGGTAATATGCCGCAAAAGTAAATAAGTGTCCCCAAAGAAACACTTTGGCTGCTATACATTGAACAGAGCTTCCAGAATGTCCGTCATTGTTTGGATGCATCAACGTTGATGCTTGGTGATACATCATCCGGGCCTGGTGCGTTTCCGTCAGAGATGGGGAACTCCGAAGAGTTCCAGGCGACACGTCAGGCTGGCGGGTTACACCGCCGCGGCGGCCAGGCTATGGCGCCGTACATAGAGATGCTAGACTTGGCGTTCTTCCCTGAGTGGCGGAGGATAAAGCTCCGAAAAGCAGCCAAAAAGTTGGCCCACCTGGCAAAGCTTTGTGACAGAGATGTCCTTGAAACTTCCAGTGATCGTTGGTGAGAAAAGTTTCGAGGACGAGTTCGGCAAACCACCGAAAATATAGGAAGGCTGCGGGACCAACGCGAACCACATCAGCACTCCATGGTGCCTTTGCAGTGCACCGAAATGGAGCAACTTTTTTTTCTTGTTTCTTGCAAAATGCATCGCCTTAGCTGTCTACAATTGCATGTACAGCATGTACCATTGCACGATTTGTTTAAATGCGAAGCATTTCTCAGTGAACTTTGGTGACTTTGAGCGTATCTATCTATCTATCTATCTATCTATCTATCTATCTATCTATCTATCTATCTATCTATCTATCTATCTATCTATCTATCTATCTATCTATCTATCTATCTATCTATCTATCTATCTATCTATCTATCTATCTATCTATCTATCTATCTATCTATCTAGCCGCCGACGACTTTTAGCTCTCCTGGCTGCTTCAATAATGGTATCGATACCAAAATTCGTACGGCATAACATGACCGTATGACAAAAATAAGTTAATAGTGATAACATGAAAATCCTAACATGATTGTTATGAACGTCATGATTGCATTTCATAGCCTTGCTGCTCTTCGGTGGTTTCGCTCACTTGACCTGTTGAAAAACTGGTATGGTATGACATGACTGCATGGCGAATGCAAGCGACAGACACTAACAAGAAAATTGTGACATGCATGTTATGTGACAACATGGCTACACGTATCACTCGTATGCGCTCGCGGCCATTTCACTCGCTCCGCATATACCAAGTTTGGTATTACGGGATGTGAACAGATGACGAAGGTATGTGACTGATGGAAACATGATAATCATGTGATGCGTGTCATGTAAAACATGACTACATGTCATGCTCAAGATGCGTGTCATGTAAAACATGACTACACGCCACGCTCAAGATGCGCTGACGGCCGTTTCGCTAGCTTCACTTATACCAAGTTTCGTATTACGGGACGTGAATGAATGGCGAAGGTATGTGGCTGGTGCAAATATGATAAACATCAGGTGCGTGTCATGCAACAACTTGTCTACTTGCCACGCTAATGATGCGCTCGCGTTCGTTTCGCTAGCTTCGTATGTACCGAATTCGGTATTACGTGACGCTAACGGACGACATAGGCAAATTACACATCCAAACATGATAATTATGACGCATGTCATGCAACAACATGACTACCTGCCACACTCATAGCATGCTCGAAGCCGTTTTGATAGCTCAATATATACCAAATTTTGTGTTAAGTGACGTGAATAGACAACGAAGGTAAAGGACACTTCCTAACACGGTAATCATGGCATGCGTGCCATGTAAAACTTGACTACATGCTACGCTCATAGGACGCTTGCGGCCGTTTCGCTAGCTCCACACATACCAAATTTAGTATCAGGTGATGTTAATAGATCACGAGGGTAAATGACACCTACAAACATGATTATCATGACGCGGAAGTAAATTACGGCATAATTTACCTTCGCCTCGTAACGTTGTGCTGCTATTAAAGTGACGTATCAACCTTCATCGATCGGGCTTCGCATATCATCGATATCATATCGGGCTTCGCATATCAACGTGGGATCTGCCCATTTTTTCCAGTCCTCGTTAACTCATAGCCCCTGTTGTTCCTTCAACTTCTCTCGGACAACCAACGGTCACCTTTGAATGCACAGTCGACAGCAAAAGTTTGTGTACAGTCGACACCTTAAGCGTACAGTCGAAAGCGAAAAATTGCGGGATGTGCAGCGCGTGGCGGAGCGGCGAAAAGCCAGAGTTACTGTATATGCTACCTAAAGGTAGCATATACAGTGACTCTACAGAAAACTGCAGTGCTGCGCCGCCTGCCGTGACGTGCACCATGGTGTTGAGGTTTTCAGTCATGGCTTCCGAAATTAAATCAGCAGCGGCGCGTTTTCTAAACGCGCCGTTGGCAATCACCGAGGCCACGTATGGTAGCCTTGACACGACGATGCATCATACTAGACGGCACAGCAATGCAGATTTCCGCCGCTCCGCCACACGCTGCACATCCCGCAAACTTTTACTGTCGACTGTACGCTTACGTTGATTTTTCGACAGCCAACGGGCCCGCTTAGCTTTGCATTATGTTTGCGACTTGGGAACAGTTTGGACACGAACAGAACTGCTCGTCACCCATCAAAATGTAATTACGCTTTTACAACGGCACGTTTCTGATACGGTATCGATAAGATTGTTTACTGGAACGATTGTGCAACCATACTCGTGATGTTTCTACGCTATATGACGCCAACTGTAATCCCCCTGATTGATATGCCGTATGGCGCGACAGCACGAGCAGTCTCATGAACTGATTAAATTCTGAAGAGAATACAGGGCCGCGATGTATTTTTGCATCGCGGCACTGTATTGATTTAAATGCGAAGCATTTCTTAGCGCACTTCGGCGACTTTGAGCCTATCTATCTATCTATCTATCTATCTATCTATCTATCTATCTATCTATCTATCTATCTATCTATCTATCTATCTAT